CTGGACAGGACACCAGTCCACCACAGGACACACACAGACAAACACCCTGGACAGGACACCCTGCAGGGCCAAATATTCCAATCCAAATACTTGCAATCCTCATCCTATTCCCATACCCTCAAACCTAAAACCTATAACCTATTCCAGTAACATCAGACCTCAATCCTCAGGCCTATCACAATACCTTCACCCCTTAACTCACAAGCCTATTGCAGCAGCATAAGGTGATAGGAGGGACTACCTTCTAGGTGGGACATCAGTTCATTCCAGAGTGCACAGACACTCACACTGGGACCTCCACTGGCATCTAAAGCTTTATTTGTCTGTTACAGGCAAGTGTGCTGGTTGCTGATCCATTCTGTGACAAGAGCATCGGTGCTCCATACACTTCCACTCTTGGTTACTGTGGTAAAGAGGGGAAACATATCCACCTGACCCCCGAATACCTGTTGAATGACCAGGCCATCGACATGTACGGACCCAGAGGTGAGACTGCAGCCCTGAGCACCTCAGACTCCCACTGGTTGTTTCTGATGCTTATTCAACTCAAGGTCGTGGGGGAGCCAGAGTCAGGGTACACTCCTAACAAAAGCAAGGGTACACTCTTGACGGTTCGTCATACCATTGGAAGGGCACACACAGACACAACTGCAGCCCTGCACACCTCAGACACCCACTGACTGTTTCTGAAATGATCTTGTGTCCAGGTGTCAAACCCTTGTCCCAGAGATTAATTGTGCTGTAGGTTTTAAAGGTAGCTAAGAGCTCAATGAGCAGAGCTCGGGAAAGGTTGTTGATTTCTTCTAATTAAGCGACAGATTGATCCAATGAATTCAGCTGGAACAAACAAACTAGAAGATCTCATGGTTCTGCAGAAACAGCTTTGGAAACTGTGCTTTACAGTACCTGAGAATGAAAGCTAGGAAGCAGGGAGACAAACTGCATTCTTAAATATATTCATGCTTAAGTTGCAATTATACATCATATCACACATCACTTTCAATAAGTGCTTATCCAAAGCAGGGTCGCAGGGAAAGCAGAGCCTATATCAGCAAGCAACAGGTGCAAGGCAGGATACACCATGGATGGGACACTAGTCGATCACGCACACTCACACCAGGGTCATTTTTCCCAGAAGCCAATTAACCCACCAGTATGTCTTTGGTCATTGGTGGGAGGAAACTGGAGAACCAGGAGGAAACCCATCTGAACACAAGCAGACCATACAATCTCCACACTGATAGAACCCCAGGAATTAAATCCAGGGCCCCAGTGAGGCAGGAATGTTAACAAGAAGACGACTGCTTCAAAACTGAAAAAAGGCGAGACATCTGCTTTCTCCTCTTTTAATTAATCATGTACTGTTAGAAGCTGTGAAGGTATCAAAGAAGGCTACCACCTACTGCAGATTCAAGATGTTGAATGTACATGCAGGTTTTTCTCTTGCGTGTACTGTACTGTATATACAGTATACTGTAGCTTCCACATAGTGTGCGTGTCACACCCTTTGCAGCCAGATGGCGCTCCTACTCTGTCCTATCCCTAGTTTCCTGTACTTTGCTGCCCTTCCGGTATCTCTATCTCTGGGGCTATATATTTCCGGGTCACTGAATCACCTTCGCTCAGCATTGACGTTCGGATGTCCTGAGACCCGCCTAGCGCCAGGTCGCCACTCCATCCATGTTTTGATGGCATAGGTTTCTATACGGTAGTTCCTGAACTCCTGCACTGCTTTGCTGTCGTTCTGGTATCTCTCTCTCTGGGGCTATATATTTCCGGGTCACTCATTCACCTTTGCTCAGCATTCTGTCACGGATGTTGGAAGAGAAGAACCGTGGAATGGCAGGAGTGCGAAAACGACCCTATGCGTAGCGGCGGAACAGGGAGTTAGCCTGGGCTCAGCAGTGCAGGAGTTCAGGAATTGCCGTATAGAAACCTATGCCCTCAGGCCACAGACAGAGCGGCGGCCTGGTGCTAGGCAGGTCTCAGGACATCTGAACGTCAATGCTGAGCCCGGGCTAACTCCCTGTTCCACCGCTTCGCATAGGGTCTTTTTCCACTCTCCTGCCATTCCAGGGTTCATTCCCTCTGACATCCGTGAGAGTGCGCCTGTTTTAACCCACTGTCTTTCATACCTTGTGTTCACACACAGAACTATTCTCCTCCTTCTGTGCTCCAGGTCGTGTATTGGTGTATACCTGACCAGTTCTGTGATGGGGAGTGTTCAGTGAATTTAACACCCAGGAGCTCTTTCATATTTCTGAATATAGTGTGAAAGAACCCATTAGGTAAGTGAAAATCCTTTCTCTGGCAATACAAGCTCAATCTCAGCTATAACACGGAATATCCAGAAAGGGTGGGGTTCGGAATAAAGAAGTTATTGAAATATCATTTTAAAGTGGTAAAATTTTAAACAGGTATGTACCCATGTAAATTGTTTGAATTCCTAAGTGCTGACATTTTTGCCCTTTATTAAATGAGGTGTTTAAACAAGGATAAACAAGGATAAACACAGATTCTAACAGATACTTTGGATTGCTGTGCATATGCCAAAACGATTCTCAAAACGTTCATTAAGGCACTTCTGTGTATTTAGTGCACTAAAAGAGCAGAATAATCTACATAAAGAGTCCAAAAGGCTGTGGGAGTGGTGTTGTGAACTAAACAAGTCTGTTTTCAGAGTGACAAGGACATGCACCTGAATGCTTTGATGATAGTGGATGTCACGTTGGCTTGCAATGCTGTTCATTTACTGCTGTCATATTCAAATCCAGTGTGATGTCATTGAACAGGAGGAAAGAGTTTCTCAGCCAATGACAAACTGGACTCCAACGCACTGATGGATGCATTCAGTGACATCACTTCTCAGTCTGGAGATGACATCGCCAGTGCTGTCCAGGTGGGGCTTTGAGCTGTTCTCACTGCTCCTGGTGTTATAATACCCATCCGTGACACAGTAATGTAGCCATTGGCTAATAACTGGAGCAATCAAGGGTGCAGAATGCTTCAGGCTTTGGAATGTCCCGAGATGCTTCAGATGTCACAGATGTCAAACAAGCACATCGGCCACATGAGAATTGGTAACAAAGGGAAAGGTAGGACATGTCATGAATTCCTGGGAGTTAATCACAGTGCAGTCTCTGTCTCATGCACATGTAATTATCCAGTGCTGAGAAGATTCAAGTGTCACCCTAAATTTAGAATTTGCTCAAAACAGTTATGTGGCCTCTGCCCCATCTCATGCGATGCAATGTTCGAGACATGGGAAAGAAAGGCACATTTGTTTGAATTTGTCACGAACCCTAGGAAGAATGCACTGCTCAGAGTCACCACGGGAGGGTAGGGTCAGGAGCTGGGCTGAGATGGCTGTAATGATGGACAGTGAGCAGCTGGGACCGTCCACAAGACGAGGGGTAGATTTCAGTAAAGCAGTGGTGTGTTCTAGGGCAGAAGTGAGGATAGTAGCGCAGGTTGGAGGTGAGCAGAGTGAAGCCAGAGGGGATTGAAACACCGAAGCTGGGGAAAGCTGGAGGAAAACACAGATGCACAGCAGCACTACAGTACAATTGTGGCAGAAGGAAGAGAAAGCATGTTGTACTCAGACAGAGGAGGGAGAGGGAACAGGGGCAGCAGATCAGAAAGAGGGGGGAGAGGGAACAGGGGCGTGTGACAAGAATGAGGTTGTCACCAGTCTTCTGGTGTAAATGGAAAGGGGAAAGATGTGTGTCTAATGTTGAAAAGCTTTAAGGTAAAATGTACACTAAAATGACTTTCAAAATATATCAAACACAAGAGTGTTTTACATACATCAAGTGCATTTGTAATTGGATAGAAATGGAAAAACAGATTTAGCCACACTAGTGTAAGACATCTAAACTGTTTGAAAACAACCACCAGAGTGCAGCGTGGGGCTGTTTAAGAACTAACTCTATTCCCAGGGACATGATTCTATGTATGGGCTGCAACTAGAATGTTTTAGGGTTGACAGATATGTTGCTGTTGATATCTGATGATATCCAGACCTTATTCTTTTTCAAAGATTAAACCTAATTTTCCAGAGAGTTGAGATAACAAGCTGAACGTAATGATAAAGAGGTTAGAGTTTTCAGGATGTGACTTTAAATCTATTTTTTTTTGTTAATGCATAAAGACAATAAAATATAAAATAATGTACCATGAAAAGCATTACATAAAATTCCTTTTCTTATAAGTGGTCAGAAACAGCACTGTCAACTACAGTATGTAGTGCCTGGCCAAAGCATTCACCTTTTACACTGATGTCGCGTTTTGCTGATTTTTACAGTGATGTGTAAAAATTATTTTTACTGTTGGACCTTTTCTCTGTAGCTTTTGCTGACTGTTTTTTCATCTGTAAAAGCCTGCAGTTTTAACATTCAAGTTTTGATTAAAAAACCTGCAAACATACGTATCCACCATCTGTACAGTAATTCCACAAAAATGCACAGTACTGGAAGAGGGCGAGTGATTTCTCTGCAAGGCACAGTACGTGGAGTATCAATCTTCAGGCCCGGGGAAATGGGCTGTAAAATATGTGCTTGACTGCAAGTGGTCGTAGAAACATCCTGAACAAAAATCGCTGATTCAAAAATGTAAATAATTGCACACCCCATGGGTCGGACCCCTAACCAAGATCCAAGTTCTAATCCCCAACTAAGTGAATTCACGAGGAATGACAACGCCCCAAAATCGAAGCGTAATGAACTATTGTGGAGTGAATATTTGGCTTAACCCACTTGGCTGAGGGCCGACCTCCTGGCCGCAGGAC